AACGCCTCTATTGGCAGGATGTGGCAACGGTTCTGTGAGACGGAAGCCAAGGACGGTTTGGGAGAGTGGAAGAGTCGTATTAAGAAGAATTCCGGCCGGAAAAAGAAGAATCGCGACGAAATCGCCGTTAAAAGTTGGGCTGTTCCTATTGAAGAAAGGAAGCCATTTCGGTGACTTGCTCAAGCGGCAGGCATCTCCAAGTACTTACTGCAACCACTTATACGTGAGGGCGTTTTGAAGGTGCATTCAACTCGCATTACACCCTACCTGACGGAAAATAACAAGTTTCGTCGTACCGAGCATGTCCTTACATACATTGACCCTACAAGTCTAATGTTCGAGCCGATGTACGACGTAGTTCACGTCGATGAGAAGTGGTTCTATGAGGATGTTAATAATCGCTCGTGCTTAGTATTTGAAGACGAAACCCCGCTCCAGCGTAGCCAACGGAGTAAGAACCACACCCCAAAGACCATGTTCCTCGCTGTAGTGGCACGTCCACGGTAAACATTCTGCAATTCAATATTTTTCAAACATTATATTTACTAAATTCCTTTTTTTTAAATACAGATGGGACCCACATCGTAAAAAGGAATGGAACGGTAAAGTTGGATTGTGGCCGTTAAATGAGAAGTATAAAGCGCTTCGTTGAAGTAAATATCGAGCTCGTGGTGAAGAGTGCATTCGTAATATTGATTTTATCAATCAAAAAGTCTACAAGTGTTACTTATTGAATCATGTCATTCCCACTATCAAGTTGAAGTGGCCCCGCCGAAAAAGATGAATGTAATTCTGATTCAACAAGATAACGCAACCCCCCACATTAGTCCAAGCGACCCAGAAGTTTTAGCTGCGGGGACTACCGATGGTTTGAATATTCGGCTTTCCTACCAGCCTGCCAATAGACCCGACACAAATGCCTTGGATTTGGGACTGTTCGCCTCTTTACAGGCTCTTCAGCTTCAACAACCAGTCTATGGCATTCTAAAGTCCGTAGAGGATGCATACAAGGCCATGGACAAAGATACGCTTGACGATATTTTCCTTACACTTCAGAACTGCATAGAATGTATACTGATGGTAGGTGGAAGTAATGATTACAAGCTGTCACACATGGGTAAATCAAAACTTGGAAAAGAAGGTAAACTCCCGAAGAGTTTTGTGTGTGACCGCGATGACTATACAAGTGCCCTTGCCATCCTCGAAAAGGCAGGTAGGCCATTCTTGTTCTAGTGTCAAGTGTCAATAAATACCTGTACAAATAGATAATACTCAACACATCATCTTTGTACACAAAATAAAACTCCATCACTTTCATATTGCATTCTTTCAATCATTTCCTTCCAGAGGAAGTAGCTTTCATTAACAAAGCGCTTCTGTAATGGTAGTATTTTTGATAACGAACGAATAGTAACACGCAAGTTTCACAAATGAAGCAGATCGTAGTGAGAAGCCGTGCTGAAATTGGGCTATGGGTGGTTGTGAAATGCCATCAAGGCGGCATTTCTTGCTGGATAGCCTGCTAGCTGGTTCCAGCACGCCTTCCAGTTGAGCTCCTCAGTCTGCGCGTTTACATGCTCAAAACGTTTGTTGCCCCAAGACTGAAGCAACAACTTCAGAAGATCAGCATTTTTCACTGGAGGGACAGAAGTGGTGATCCAACCGTTGGGCAACCAGTTCATAGTCCAGTCGTTCATGGAATTCACTAGTAACTCAGCGTCTGAGTAGATGTAGAGCATCTTCTCTTTGTTAGGGTCCACCAAGTTGAATTTTCGGTGTGCCATTAGAGCCAAATACTCTGCACGATTACTCGTCGCGCAAGGGCTCTAAATCTCATATACAATATTTTCTGCCTATGAAAAGATGCAACGTTCAGAGTTTCAAAGCTACTCATAATTAGACGTGAGATGC